ATAGAATTTAGAAAAGTTGGATATAATAGGTCTCTAGAGAATATTAAATGAAAAAAGAAATGTGTGTACATATTTCTTAGCTGTGCATAGCATTTTCACAAAAACCAATAATTTTTTTAAGGCATAAATCCTCTCAAACATATGCAGAGAAGCAGAAATATTGAGTCCATCTCTTATAGACTACAGTGCAATAAAAATTATATTCAAGGGCCACTGATGAAACATGTAAAAATTAACTGGAGACCAAATCAATCAATCCTAAAGAATGTGGGCCAAACAACAAATCTTAGAAACAATCAATAATTTCTTTAAAGCTAATGATTAAACAAGATATCAACATTTTTTGGACACTGCCAAACCAATCTTTAGGGGTAAATTTATATCTCTAACCACTTTTTATTAACGAAAGAGGGAAAAAGTAGATAAATTAAGCACACAGCTAAAAAACTAGAAATCTAACCAAAAATGTCTTATTAAACAACAAAATAGAAATTCTGAAAAAACAAAGGCAAGCCTAACAAAACTGAAATGCACACAAAAAAAACCCATCCAATTAATAAAACTAGAAGCTATTTTTTGGGGGGGTAGGTGTGGAACCAAAAGCAAAAAGTGAATTGACAACTAATAAAGAAATGAAAGAAATTATTAAGAACCGTTTTGCCCAGTTATATGCCAATAAAATTGACAACTAAATTGAATGGCTGAATATTTACAAAAATATAAAATTCCCCTATTAATAGAAGAAATAAAGGACTAAAATAACACAATCAGAAAAATAAATTGAATAAGACATACATGAATTCCCAAAGGGGGAAAAAACAGAACCATATAGATTTACAAGATGTTTCTATCAAATATTCAAAGAACAAATTAATTCCTAGGCTACTATATACTGTTGGGGTGGTAAAAGGGAAAAGAAAGGGACCTACCACATTCCTTCTATGACACAAATATGGTCTTGATATCTAACCCAGGGTGAGTCAAAACAGAGAAAGAAAACTGTAAGTCAATTTCCTGACCACTAACAGGTAGCCAGTCTTAATATCTGCACTTGAATGTTTCTAGTGATGGGAAACATGCTACCTCAGGAGATAGATGGCTATTTTGCTGTTCCTTACACAACACACTCCATCTCAAGATTCCATGCATCTTCTTCTTCCTTTCCTTTTTTTTTTTTTTTTGAGGCAATCAGGGTTAAGTGACTTGCCCAGGGTCACACAGCTATTATGTGTCTGAGTCTGAATTTGAACTCTGGTCCTCCTGACTCCAGGGCCACTGCTAATACCACCTTTACTGCCCTGATTCCATGCATTTTCAGACTCTCTCCCATGCCTGGAATGCTCTCCTTCCTTGTCTCCACTTCCTGGCTTCCTTGCCTTTCTTACTTCAAGTCTCAGCTTAAAACCCATCTTCTGTAAGAAGCTTTTCCTGATCTCCCATAATGCTAGTGCATTCCTTCTGGGATTACCTCCATGTTATCTTGGATACATTGTTTGTCTGCACAATATCTCCCTCAATTGATTGTAAACTTCTTGAGGGCAGAGACTATTTTTGCCTTGCTTTGAACCCCCAATATTTAGTAGAGTGTTTATTTAGACTTGCTGTGCATGTCACATTGACACAAAGATTCAAAGAAATATAACATTTTATTTTTATCATGGTAGTCAGTAATGATGTCCACATCACATGCAATGCCTCACTGAATGGCATAGCATTCCCAATATATAGATGATAGGATTTTCCAATGTGACTCCAGAATTATTTGCACAAGGACCGTCTTTAAGATTTGCAAATGGTGACAGTCTACTTCAGGAGTAGCCAGACAAGACTGTTTTGTGTTTTGCTTGGCTTAGTATTTTTGCACCTAAGCATTTTGAACCTAGGCATAACTCACTATATCCTCATAAAAGTATAGGACAATAGAGTTGGAAGTTCATTGTAAGGAGCTGTCTAATCCCTTTACACTTGAGGAAACTGAGGCCATAGAGTTGAAATGACTAGTTTAAAGCTATACAGTAAGGGCAGAATTGGGCCTAGAACCTACTTCTGTCCACTTTTTTTTTTTTTTAGGATAATAGGATTTATTTTTATTTTATTTTTTAAAATTTATTTTTGTAAGTAGTTCTTTCTCCCTTGGACTGTGCCTCCCCAATTGAACAATTTTTTTTTTTTAAAGAGAGAAAACCCTTAACAGATATGCATAGTTTAGCAAAACAAAATCCCACATCATCTATATCTAAAAGTGTTTCATTCTACATTTTAAGGCCATCACCTCCCTGGCAAGAGATGGGTGGTTTATCATTGCATTGATCAGTCTAAAAGTGTTTAAGTTGTTTTTCTATATAATGTTGCCATCATAGAAATGATTCTCCTAGTTCTGCTCATGTCACTGCATCTGTTTACGGAGGTCTTCCTAGCTTCCTCTGAAACTGTTCATTTTGTCATTTCTTATGGCACAATAATATTCATTTATATTCACATAACCATAATGTGTGTGGCCATTCCCCAAGCGGGCACCTCTTAGTCTCCAATTAGGGTTTACTATGAAAAAGACTGCAAATATTTTTGCATATATGGATCCTTTTCCTCTTTCTTTGCTCTAGCAAAGTACTGGCAGTAGCACTGGCAGAACCAGGTCAAAGGATATGCAGAGCAATTTCTATGACATAATTCCAAATTGCTTTCCAGAATGAAAAGTATTGCTTTTATGAAGTAAAAGTTTCACAAATGGTGCATTATTGTGTCAGTTTTTCCTTACCCCCTTCAATATTTTCCTTTTTTGTCAACTTGGTCAATCTGTTGGGTGTGAGGTGGAACCTTTACCTTGATTTAATTTGCATTTCTCTTAGTTATTTGAAGCATTGTTAATAACTTGGCTTCCTTCCTTTGAAAACTGCCTATTCCTATCATTTATTGTTATTTAACTATGTATCTATTGGAGAATAGCTCTTAGTCTTATAATTTCAATCAGTTCCTTATAGATCTTGGAAATGAGATCTTTATCAGAGAAACTTGCTACAAAGATTTTCCCCCAACTACTTGTTTTCCTTCTAGTTCTAATTGCATGTTTTTTGTGCAAAAACTTCAAATTTTATAATCAAAATACTCATTTCTAACCTATCTTTTCTGACTTCTATTGCTTTAGTCACAAACTCTTTCCTTATCCATAGATTCTTTTCTTCCTTGCTCCTCTGATTTGCTTATGTTACCTTTTATGTCTAACTCATGTGCTTAGACTTTATATTGGTAAATAGCATGCGATACAGTCTATAACTAATTTCTGCCAGAATACTTTCTAATTTTTGTCAAATAGTGAGATCTTACTCCAGTAATTGGGGTCTTTGGGTTTACTGAACAGTATGCTACTGTGTTCATTTGCTTCTGTAGGTTGTGTATCTATTCTATTCAACTGACCAAACTCTGTATTTTTAACCAGTACTAAATTGATTTTCTTTACTGCTTTGTAATGTATTTTGGGATCTGCTACTTAAATAAATTTCATCCTCACTTTTTTTCATTAATTTCCTTGAGATTCTTTACCTTTTATTCCTCCAGATGAATTTCATTATTTTTTCTAGCTTTATAAAATAATCATCTGGCACTGTGGTTGGTAATGTCCTGAATAAGTACACTAGCTTAGGTAGAATTACAATTTTTATTATAATGACTCAACCTACCAATAAGCAAATGGTGTATTTAGTGTTTCTTTTTTTCTACAAGTATTTGATGCTCTAATACATAAGTAATTTACGTAGATTCTTTTCTATTCCCAATCAGTAATTTCCAGAGATCTATCAACTCTTATTTCTTTTTAAAGTTCTATTAAGGTGCTTACTTCTTGCTTATTTATCTTTTGTTTCATTTGACTAGTTCTGAAAAGAATACTGAGGTCTCCCACTATTATAGTTTTAATATTTCTCCTTCCAATTTGATTAACTTTTTCTTTAAATATTTAGATGTTATGCTATTTGGTACACATATATCGAGTATTTATATTGATTTATTATCTATGGTACCTTTTTTTTCTTTTGGGTGAGGCAATTGGGGTTAAGTGACTTGCCCAGGGTCACACAGCTAGTGTCAAGTGTCTGAGGCTGACTCGGGTCCTCTTGTATTTAACTTAATTTTCCTTCTTTTTATCATGTCACTATTTACTATAACTGTATCTGAAATCATAATTGTTACTCTTGATTTTTTTTAGTTCTCTTTAAACATAACAGATTTTATTCCAGTCCCTCACTTTAATTCCATGTGGATCATTTTAAGTATGTTGTAAAAACTGTATCATTGGATTCTGTATTCTAATTCATTTATCCATCTCCTTCCATTTTATGGATGAGCTTATCTCATAAAAAAGTTATGATTTTGAATTATTTTCCTCCACCCTGTCCACTTGTAGTTTTTCCTCTTTGCTCCCCAACCCCTTTCCAAATACAAAGATGGTAAAATCAAGAGTTTGCCCGGTATTAGTGAACTATGAATGAAATGGCTTGTTTCTACTATGTTGTAGCTCTTCTCTTTCATTTGCCCTACTCCTGATCCTAGGGTTTTAACTTCCTTCTTTTCCTTTTGATCCCTCCCCTCACATTCTTCTCAGCAACATCCATTTGCTCATTCTGATATTGTACTGAAGGGATACAATATAAATACATGCAAGGAGGTATAAAATACATAAGAAATAAACAGATAAGTAAACATAAGATAATGCAAGAGAGAATAATAACTAGGGATATCAAGAAAGGCTTCCTCTAAGAGGTGGCACACAAGCTGGGCCTTGAAGGAATCCCAAGAGGTAGAGGTGAGGAGGTAGTCTACTCCAGGCAGTAGGTTCACCTTTACACCTGTGCAAAGTATGAAGGAAAGAGATGGAATATAGAGTTTAAGGAAAAGCAGGTAGGTCAGTTTGGCTGAAATTTGTCAAGTGCATGAAGGTAAATAATATGAAATAAGACTGGAAAGATAGGCCAGAGTCAGATGGTGAAGGACAATAAATACCAAGCTGAAGAGTTTGTGTACTTTATCATACAGGTAATAGGGAGCCCCTTAAGGCCTTTGAACAGGAGAAACTGATACAGCCAGGCTTGAACCTTTTTATTTCAGCTGCTGTGCAGAAGAAAAGGTTTCAGACTGGAGTCTGATATGAAGGGTGTTGTAACAATCTAGGGAAGGAGTGTCGGATCCTGAAGTAGAGTGGTGGGCTTGTGAGATGAGAAAAGAGGCACTTATGAAAGAGGATGTGAAATACTCAAGACTTGAAAACTAGCCAGGATTTCACAATATTTGTAAATGACAATAATCTCACATTTCTATAGTACTTTAAGGTTTACAAAGTGCATTCCTCACAACAACCCTGTGAGGTAGGTAGTGTATTATAATCCCCACTTTACAGAAAATGAGTGAGGCAGCAAGGTTAACAACAAGGCTAACAAGGTTAGCAGATGGAGTGCTTTCATAGCCCCTGGGAACTTTTTAATAAATATACTGAAGAAATTAGGAAAGTAACTGTTGGGAGGGAGGGGGGAAGAACTTGTACTTTAAATTTTATTAATAAATTTGTATTTTTAAATTCAGTAACACTTTCTCCACACTTATTTCTTTTTTTCATAATCTGTAATTGGCTTAAAAATTTCCTGTAAGTTGGTCCAAGCACCCTTGGCATAAATGTTCTTGTAGGCACTGGTTTTGTCTTGAACAGGGTCTGAATTATGGCACCGATGACACTTGGCTCTGCTTGACTTGTACCACTCATTGGAGGTCTGATTGGTGACTGCCAGGTATAGAGTGAAGCATACGTAGCCCCCAAGTAAGAGACAAAGTACAATGACAAATCCGAGCATGAAGACAATTCTTGGAAAGGTCAAGAACAGATACTGCAAGGGAAGAAAAGGTGCAAGTCCGTTATTTTAATGGAAATATCCACAGTACAATACAATTTAGTCTTGTTGTTTTCCATGAACCCTTAAGCAAAACAAAATCCCACATCATCCAAGGTTTTAAGCCTTTTTGGAAAAATAGTATCACCATCAGCTATGATAGCAAAGTGGAAGCAGAGAAAGAGTTGCATCATAGGACTTAAATAGAGAAATGGGGTAGGGACACGTAAAGACGGTTAAAGACTTCAGGCCAAGACTGACCCCTGCCTAGAGGTGGACCATCCACTTCCCACAGACCTATTACAGCAAAAACCTAAAAATTACCCTTGACCAAGACATCCAATGAGAAACTAGACTAAGCAACTTCTTTCATCCCAGAACTGCACAAAAAAAGTCATCCAAGAGTGAAATGGGAAAGGGGGCTATCAGCAAAGGCAAACAAGATGGCAGCCTCTTAGCTCATGGAGAGCCAGGTCAGAGCAGGAATGAGCAAGAGCAGACTCCTGCAATTAGAAAGCCCCAAAGTAACTAGAAATCCCCATGGTTGTGGGAAACCCACAGCAGAAACCTTGGAAGCACAGCAATCAAAGCATAACATTCATGCAAAGATAGACCAGGATACCCCTGGCATCAGGGAGTCTGAGGTGCCTTATCATTCTGTCCTGAAAGGCCACAGAGGGGCCCTGAAGATCCAGTGCTGCTAACCCCAAAGATGAAATTCAAGGGGGATATCTAACCCCAGGAAGTAAAAGTACACTTAGAAACCCAGGTGACTCAGAGCAAAATCAAAGAGGCCTGGCCACCCCACACAAAAGGGCAGCAAGAGACGAGGCTGACTCTGGCAGAGGGTCCCAGTTCAGGAAGTAAAGCTATGGAAAAGAGGAAACTAAAGATGACACTGATCATTGGAAAAAATTAGCTAGAGATGCTCTTTCTTTCTAAGTTGGATTTTTGCATTTTCCATAGGACTATATGAATAACCAAAAGAAATTAAACAAGCTTACAGAAGAGTTTAGACACAAAAATAAAGATGACAATCATCGGAGGGGTCGTGGAATGAAAGGCACACTGATGCACTGCTGGTACAGCTGTGAAGTGATACAAACATTATGAAAAGAAATCTGGAAGTATACCCCAAAAGTCACTCACCTGTGCAAACTGTTTTTAATCCAGTGATACCACTGTATATAACCACAAATGGATATAATTGAAAGAGATACAACAAAGTGGGAAACAAAATGGGTGTCCATCAATTGGAGAATAGTTGAACAAATTGTAGTACTGTACATATAGTATGCAATATAATAGAACAGAACATAATAGAATAGTAATAGAATAGAATAGAATAGAATGGAGTGGCAGCTAGGTGGCACAGTGGATAGAGAATTGTACCTGGAATCAGGAAGACCTGAGTTCAAATCTGGCCTCAGACACTTATTAGCTGTATGACCCTGGGCAAGTCACTTAACCCTGTTTGCCTCAGTTTCCTCATCTGTAAAATGAGCTGGAGAAAGAAATGGCAAACCACCCCAGTATCTTTGCCAAGAAAACCCCAAATGGGATCTCAGTGCAGGTCACAGTCTCAGAGTTCCCTAGAATGCTGAGGGGCCTCAGTGACTGCCCAGGGTCACACACCTGATATATGTCAGAGGCAGGATCTGAACCAGGGACTCCTGGTTCTGAGACTGGTTCTGTCTCCATCGTACCATACTGCCTCTCAATGACAGTACTATTATGTTCAATTGAATAGAGATAAGGACTGGATCTGTGACTTCACTTTTAGGAACCTTCTGGGTAAGGAAACACCCTTATCTTACCAATCACCGAGAGGCTGAGTAACTTGCCCAAGGCTACAGAGCCTGTATTTGTCAGAGACAGGACTTGAACTGAGGCCTTATATGGTCTGATACTGATCAAGTATTGAGGCACCAAATATATGTAGAAGAGAAACACAAATACATCATTTACTGACCACATGCAATAAAAATTACATTCAACAAAAGGCCCTTGAAGAAAGAATTAGAAACTAATTGCAGACTAAATAATGATTCTAAAGAACTGGTGGATCCAAGAACACATTACAGAAATGAGATTATTTCATCAAAAAAAAAAAGACAATATATTAACAATTATATTAAATAATTATTATGAGTTTCATAGGATGCAGCTAAAGTAATTCTTAGGGAAAATTTTGTATCTTTTAAAATTTTCATCAACAAAAGAGAAAAAGAACAAGTTAATGAACTGGCCACACAAAACTCTTAACTAAATCTCAACTAAAAAGAAATTCTTAAAATTAAAGATGATAGATAAAACTGAAAACAAAAAGATCCCAGTGCCCCGATAAATAAAAACAAACTGTATGTAATAAATTCTTTTTTCACATGTATCTCTCTTCTTCCAGCCTTCTTTGTTTTTGGAAATATTGATGTTGCAAATGATTTTTTAATTAAAAATCTTAAAAAATTAAAAAAGAAAAACTAGTCTATTGTTGTTGCCTCTTCTTCCTTACCTCCTCATTCACTCCTCAACCTCCGACGATCTGGCTTTCATCTTCCACCAGTCTAATGATACTGCTAGATATCTTCAAGATCACTACTGATCTTTTAATTGCTCAATCAATCTAAGGGCCTTTTCTCAGTCCTCCTCTTCTTTCACATTTTTGCAGCACCTGACATTGCTGACCACCTCATAAGTATTCTCTCCTCCTGCAGCTTTTGTGACCCCACACTCTTCTGACTCCTGTGCTACTTGTCTTATGACCACCTCTTTGTCCCCTTCACTGCTTCACTTCCCTGCTCTATTGCTGAAATGGGGGTGTCTCCCTAAAGTTTTTTGCAGGCTTCTCATCTTCTCTTTCTATATGCTCCTCCTGATTTCACTCACTCTGATAGCTTCAATTATCACCACTATGCAAATCAATCATAAATCTGTATACCCAACCCTGAATTTAACCCTACACTCTAATCCAACATTTCCAACTACCTTCTGTATATCTCAGCCTAGTTATCCAGCACCTCAAACTCAACAGGTCCCCATCTGAATTTACATTTTGTTCCCAAAATCTATCCCTCCTTTCAACTTTGCTATCATAGCTGATGGTGATACTATTTTTCCAAAAAGGCTTAAAACCTTGGAATCATTTCTGGATTTCCACTGTCCCTCACCCTCACATCCAATCACTACAATCAACTCCTGATGAATCTACCTTTATAATATTGCCTTCATCTATCCCCTTTGTCTCCACTCAAAGTGTCACTACCCTAATCCAGGTCCTTATTACTTCTCCCTTGAAATATTCTAACAGCTTGTTCACTGATTTCTTCACCTCCAATCTCTCCCTTTTCCAATGCATCTTTCATACATTTTACAAAATTATTTTTCTAATAAAAACGTCTGATCCCCTATCCAAAAAAAATTTCAATGCTTCTCCTCTTTCCTAGAGCATAAAATATAAGTTCCTTAATTCCATTATTTAACTTGCCAGCTTAATTTCATACTACTTTCTTTCATTTACCCTAAGTACAAGTCAAACTGAACTACCAATAGCTCCTGATCTTGTCATGTACTCTCTCACTTCTGGGCACTGAAATTCTTTTTCTTTAAGGTCCAGGTTAGATGCTACCTAGTCCACGAAACCTCAATGATATCTCTCTAACTTCCCCCTACAACTCTGACCAAGCTGAAAGTGATCTCTTTCCCAATTTCCTTACAGCACTTTGGAGTTCACCTTTACTCTTATCACATACTACCTTGAATAATACTTCTGCGCATATATTTCTGGTCCTCCTATTTGATTATAAATTTCTCAAGGGTAGGAACTGTGTCATTTTCCATCTTTGTACTCCTGGTATCCAGCACAGTGCTTTGTATACAGTAGTTCCTTAACAAATGCTTGGTAAATAATTTGTTGAATTTAAGGGTACCACAATAGAATTTCATGTTTAATGGGGGAGGGGGGACCTGTTCCTTTTAAACAGCATATCCAAGTGAAAAACTTATAAACTAAAGCGTGCTTACCTGTATAAGAAAGGCAATATCAACAGGTTGTTCCTGTCCATGGTCATCAAAATATGTTCCCAATGTCATACCCGATATGAGCACCAAATGGATTAGAAATGCTGTAGTTATGATGGCAATGTTTGCAGCCATCGCAGTCAACGTCAACAGGTAGATTAAAAAGTATCTTGCATTTAAGGCACCAATGCAGTTGTTCACCCAAATACAGTGATGATCAAAACGATGCACACATCTATTACACACACCTATATGTACACACAGAAAAACCAGGAATAACAACATTATATGTGGCTCTAAATTTTTCAATTGGAAATTGTACGTACTCTTTTTTTTTTTTCAAAATTAATTTTGAAGGTGCAACTGGATTGTGATGTCATATTATGCAAATTACTGCTACAGTTTCAGAATAATGAAGCTGTTCAGAAGAAGTGAGGCCTCCACCAATGCTTACAGGCAACAAGGTACAGTGGTAAGGCCACGAGATTTGAAGTCAGAGGGGGAGTGGGCTCACATTCTGACTCTGATTAGCTGTGTGACTTTGGACTCATATTCCTCATCTGTAAAATCATGGGGCAGGGCAAGACTGTCTAATGTCCTTTTGGGCTCTAAATCTATTATGCTAAGAACACCCTGACTCTGACTCATCTGAGGTCCCACACAAACCTTCCATTCCCAAGGCATTGGTTCTAAAAGCTGGGATGTGAACTACAAGGTTGCTTAAAGATCAACCAAACCAACCTTCTCATTTTTACACATAAGGAAACTGAGGTCCAGAAAGAGCGACTTGTCCAAGTTGGCATGAAGAGTTAGCGATGACAAAACCATGGACAGATCCTGGCTCTCCTGACTCCCAATGGTCTTTCTTTTTTCTTTTTCTTTTTTAAATTGGACTTATGATTTCATTCACATAGGGAGTTCCTGAAGAGAATCCTCCTCTACCATTGCAGATCTGAACCCTTCTCTGCAGCTCTAGTCTTAGGGAGTTGCATGGAGAGCACTGAAATTAAGTGACTTGACCATGTCACCCTCACATTCCCTTCCTCTCCCTACCCCCTCTTCAGGAAGATAGGTCCAGCAGTTCCTAATGATTACCTCCAGGATAAAACATAAACTCTCTTTGTCACTCAGAGGTCTTCATACCTTGGTCCCTTCCTATCTTCCCAGCTTTCTTACACCTTACTTGCCTCCACATGCTCTGCCCAGCACACTCAATAAACTTAATAAACACTTAATAAAGCTTAATAAACACTTGCTGATGTCTAGACAATCCAACAGCACTGGCCTATCTTCAGTTCCTCAAACATAAGACTCCCATCTTCCTGGAATATTCTGTTCCCTGCCTCAATCTAGGTTCCCTGGCTTTCTTCAGTACTGCTCAAATCCCACCTTCTGGAAGAGGTCTTTCCTGGTCCCTCCCAATTCTCCTACCTTCTAATTAATGCTTTCCACTTTCAGATTACCTTCATATATTCTGTGAATAACTTGTATGTAGCTAAATATTTATCTTTTGATTCCCCAATCAGAATGTATGACAGTAGGGACTCTATGGGTTTTTGTTTTGTTATGTTTGGGGGAAGGAGGGGAGGGCTTTACTTCTGTCTCCAGAGATCAGCACAGTGCCTAACACATTGCATGTGCTTAATAAATGCTTGTTGACTGACTGATCTACCCAGGATCACACAGCCAATATGTCAGAAACAAAATTTGAACACAGGTCTTCCTGACTCTGAAGAAGTCTTTCTATGCACTATACTACGTTGTTGCTTCCAATGCTCTTTAAGGATGCTTAAAAATCAGAGTATAAAGTCCCTGCTTAGGCTTTGTGGACTTACATGACTACACTGGGTTGTGAGAAACTATTCTTTATATCCCTTCTTGACTATTCTCCTTGCCATGGGCAAGATTCCTATGAATTTGGATCGTACTTCTGCCTGAGCCTTCCAGATGTGAAAACTCTTCTAGGTGTCAAACTCTGGATATTGACCCCTAGCCTGCCTATTCAAGACTCCAAATCTAGATAGTTTCCTATACCCTTGGCTTTTGCCTTTGCATTGTTCTATCAATTTATAGTACCCAAATCTCCCCTCTTCCTATGTTTACATAGCATATAAAAACCTTTCCAAAGATTCTTCAGCACTTTCCCCTTCTGTTAGAGAGCTCTAGGAAACATCCATACCTTTTTGCTAAAATGGAATCATAAAACTTTGAAGCCAGCAAATTTGCCCGAGATATGAAATACCCACTCTGTCTACATACACAGGGTTGCAAAAATGTGACATGCATAAATATGCTGTTTGCACTTGTAAAAATTCTTTTGGTCCTAGTGAGGCTAAAAATACACAATCTAATCAGAAATAAATTGTTGTCTTGAATAAACTCTTAGAAGCTCTGCTAATATCCACCCCGGTTGAGAAGAGATATTATTCTTTGAGTTGTATGTAGCAGTAGTGGTCAAAGCAATATCACCTTGCAATCTGGATGAAAGCAATCCAAGGGCTAGAGGTTTCTCAGCCTTGCTTCATTGTTTCCTAGGTCTCAAACTTTTTCCTTTTGAGCAAAAACAGCAGTAATAATGATTCCTTTGAAAAATTGGATTTATTCATTTCTTTATTTGCTGGAGTAGGTTTGATAATATTAAGAGGCACTTACTGCAGTGCTTTGACCTTGCTGGTTTCCTCAAGTCGCAGGTAGGGCACTTCATGTTTTTCAAGAAGATCACCTCGTCATATTCATAAACTTGAAGAAATGATGCTTCATTTGATTTTGTTATTATCCCTATAAAACAAAAGCAATAATTTCCATCACAAAATAGTACTCTTTGTATACAAGGAGTCAGCAAAGCTACTATGAAGCATGGCTTTGGGAGCCAGGGGCTCATGGAAAAACAATCCTTGAATGTACTGAAATGGGGAGTCAAGTTCAGATCATTAATTCCAGTATTGATTGGCCCAACTGTGTGCCAGATGTTATACAGAATTTAAATTATGTATAAAACATAAGCACCGCTTTCAAAGCGCTTGGTATGATGTGAAACAAAAATAGAAGTGTGCAAAGCAGCCAGAGAACCAGTAAAACTCAGTAAGGCTTTGAAAGGTCTTCAGGTGTTACCTGGCAGAATTGAACTCTCCTACAACATCCCTAGTAAGTCATCGAGCCACTGCTTCAAGACCTTCAAAGAAAGGGGACCCATTACCTCCTGACGCAGAAGGATTTGGAGGTCAAGGAAAGGGGGCAACAACAGGCCCTGACTAAAACAGTCGAAAAGGTTCAAAGGAAACAAAAAAGGATGAAAGCAATGAAGCTCAAGTAGAGAAGAAAAGAAGGCTGAAAATTGGAAAATAACTGACCAGGCAGATGAGGCACCCTCTAACATGCATAGAACAAGAAGAAATCATTAACAAAAATGAAATGCTGTTTAGACATTATAAAATGGACTTTTTTTGTATGGAATTCTCTCTCTGAGGCATTGTAAGGGGTTAAACCCCTAACCACCACAGCTTGCATAGCTATGCAAGGAACATGCGGCATTTGCAATTATTAATTACCCCTTTCAGAGAGAAAAATGTGTTCTCTTGATAATTGTTATTTTCCACAGTGATATGAGATCTGATCCCTGAATATTGATGACTAGGAAGTGAGACAGAGAAGGAAGTATGGAGTAGCTGTTGAATGCATTTACAAAGATGCAGAATAGGAAGGAGTGAATACAAGTGCGGAAGGATGTCCAGCTACAGACTCTTACGGTAGATTCTGTGTACAGCCTGAATTCAGTAAGTATTGATTTTAGGGAGTTTGAGAAGAGTGGCTTCTATGGCCAGGAAGAGGCAGGCTTTCCCTGCTTGTGTTAGGTCCTCATTCCAATTTCCTATGGTCTCAGTGTTTGGGAAGTTGTAATGTTAAAGTCCTGATAGGTATGAGGCACTGGTAGGTACAGTTTTTAATTCCTCATAGTATACACCAAAAGAAAGCAGCCCAGAAAAAGTCAACAAGCTAAAGCTTAGGAGTGAATATAATTAGTGACAAGTGGTATATAAAGTATTGTTCAGAATGGGTGAATAGATTTAAACCACTTATATGGGTATTTGCCATGATTATCTAGATGATGAATGACATTTATTATTTGCACATAGACAGTTCCCTCAGGAATTCAGTACTTCTTACCATTTGAACTTAGTTTGGGGAGGTAAGAATTCTTTAAAGATTTACCAGAGTACTAAAAATGGAAAATTAGAGTACTAAAATGTCAACAGTACACTGAGTTAAGTTTTAGGGAAATACCAAGTAAGTATATACTTATGATAGAGAGAAATGAATACCAAAAACATAGGTATCTGATAATATTTGAAGAAGGGAGGAGTTGTGGAGGATGCCATGACTTTTTTTTTTTTCCAGTGAGGCAATTGGGATTAAGTGACTTGCCCAGAGTCACACAGCTAGTGTTATGGGTCTGGGGCTGCATTTGAACTCAGGTCCTCCTGACTCCAGGGCTGGTGCTCTATCCACTGCACCACCAAGCTGCCCCAATACCATAACTTTTAACACAAATATGCTAGAGAAAATACTGAAAGGCTCAGAAGGTTTTTCAAAAGCACAGCCATTGCTGATTCCTGTTTATTCCTGCCAAATCCTTGCATAGTCTCTGAGCTCAAGAACTTGGGCAGCTTGTAGCACAGCCTCTTCAGAAGGAACACAGAAACAGGAAAAGTCATCCAAGAACAAAGACTACCACAGCCATCTTGAGTCGCTGGAGGAGGTCTAGGCGATTTCACTTTATCCCCTTAGTTTCAAGACAAACTGTTCTGAAATGGCAGGAGGATAGGCCAGGTGAACAAACCGCAGCTCAGAAGTTCTGCTCCCAGGGGCAGCTGGGTGGCACAGTGGATAGAGCACTGGCCTTGGAGTCTGGAGGACCTGAGTTCAAATCCAGCCTCAGACACTTACTATCTGTGTGACCCTGACCAAGTCACTTGACCCCAATTGCCTTGCCAAAAAAAAAAAAAAAAAAAAGAATAGGACTTTTGGGGCAGCTAGGTGGCACAGTGGAACAGTGGATAGAGCAATGGCCCTGAAGTCAGGAGGACCTGAGTTCAAATCTGGCCTCAGACCAAACACTTGACATTTGCTAGCTGTGTGACCCTGGGCAAGTCACTTAACCCCAACTGCCTAAAAATTAAAAAAAAAAAAAGAAGTTCCGCTCCTCCATGCCTTTGATCTGCTTAGCTTGGTGAGAAACTGGTGAAACATGAAAGTTGGCTGCCCTGGTTTCTGAACTATAATAAAAAGCTAGAGACTATACAGAAAAGACCCTGCTTAATCAGGGATAAATAAGATTACTTTTCTATGACTTCTAAGGTCCTTTCTGCTTCTGAATCTATGACCCTTTTATCTTCTATTTCTCCACTTGGGGAGAAAACCTGAAATGCTCTATGTGACTGGCTACATAATTGTATGTAAATGGGCTATGTAATTGGGCTCTGCTATATCAGCAGAGATGGCATAATTTTGGTTTCACAACAGCACTGTTTGTTCAGAATCTGAAGAGAAAGAAGTCAATCACAGATCTCCAATCTGCCTAGAAGACTGTATAATGAAATACTTAAGGCAATCAAAGAACGTTTCTCAATGTTAAGCTATTATTATTGATAGACAGGCTTTATGGGTGGTCTACACAAATGTGAACTATGATTAGTTTGAACAGGCAACCTTCATCCTCTATAAACTTAACTATACCCTTGATCATAGAGCTCATGCCTTTTTTTCTCAGAACATTTCAACAACAATAATAACGATAACTACCATTTATAGAAGTGCTTTAAAATTTGAAAACTGACTTACAGATGTCTCGCTCTACCTTCATAACAACCCTAGGAGGTAGACACTATGATTATTATTATTTACAGATGGGAAAAGTGAGACAGGGTAAGTGACTTGCCTATTGTCATAAAGTTGGTAAACGTCTACATTTGAATTTGAACTCAGATCTCGTTGACTCCAAATCCAAGACTGTATTCACTGAGCCACTTAACTGCCTAAAATAGGGCAATTTTCAAACAAAAGGATACGCTGGTTTCTTCACAACACTTGTTCTAGGATTCCTAACCCTGGAGCATCCACTTTGAGAATGTTAGCTCCTACAAATCTCATTTTGCATGCCTTCATTTTGATTTCCCTGATCCCTTACTGATTTTTGACTGTTTGCATATACATATTCACATATATATTTTGTGGGAAAAGTACGTGTTCAGAAAAGGGGCTGATTACTCTGTTCTTTGTCTTATTTACTAACTGATCAAAATCAACTTCAACTTACCAGGGTTGGTTGTACAACTCAAAAAGAAAAAAAACAGGTTTATAATCAACAGCAGATATGGCAGGAGAAGATGATATAGTGAGAACTCCAGTTCTAAACAGTAGCGAAATATCTCCCAAGTGTATTCACTGTAAACAGCCCCTTCTAAGGCCAAGTGTAGGATGATGAATATGCAGTTTCTGAAAGAAAATAAGTACAAGTCTTGTCCTCACTCAAGTTTTCTAAATGTTAACTCAGACTGTGCTGAAGACATTCCATTATTTAAAGAAGAATCCAACTGCTTTCTTTTAACTCATCTGGACTACATGATTTCTTAGGACTCAAGGGTGGGGAACCTGTGGCCTCCTCAAGGCCACATGTGGCCCTCTAGGTCCTCAAGCGAAGCCCTTTGACTGAATCCAAACTTCACAGAATGAATTAGGGGATTTGTTCTGTGAAGTCTGGATTTAGTCAAAGGGCCTTGCTTGAGGACCTTGAGGACCACATGTGGCCTTGAGGCCATGGGTTCCCCATTCCTGTCAGACTTAGGTTCTTTCTAACTCTTCTGTGTACCTTTATAATCATTAAAGTTCTTTGAATTACTTTATTTTTAAAAATACAAGTGAACATTTCCACTAACACAGAAATTGCCACTAATTCTCAGAATTCTAATCAAAACTAGAAATGTCAAAACAATAGATTTATTATACTGCTGTGACACCCATGACTGTGAAGCCCCACATTTGAAAAGATTCTTGATGTATGAGATAGGAATCTTTAGGTATTTCCTGATTGTAAGTAAGGAGGATTTTGTTATCCTTTATAATAGTTTCCAGGATCTATGGCCAAAACAACTTCTACTGTGGCTGCACAGTGAGATATAGGGATAACATAATGTAATATTCACTACGCTTGCACTGTGCTAAGTTATGATGACATTGTTAAAGTTAAACTGTGAACTTATTGTTGGCAAATTGTCTTCTTTGTGTGCTTCTCTATAAATCAAGAGAGCACTGGTCAGTGAGTGGGGATTTTGGGAATGACAGTGTAATGCTGTTCATGCCTTGATCGGCCTCCATCAAGGCTTAGGAGAACCTGTAGGAGTTGTGCTCCAATATTCTCGACTGCCTCTCCACGAAGTGTGACTGGGGATCCTGTTGGTGCTCCCATTATCAGGAGCCCATTGAGACAGAGAAAAATAAGAGTAAATTATTATGTAACCCTTACGAAGCTGTCTTCCAGTCCTTCTGGCTGCCCAGATCAATAGTGAACCTGTTAGAGGCTGGAGTCCAAAAACTCCAGCAGTATATCCTGTGTTACATTGATTGAGTCAAAATCTGGCATATGAAAATCCAGATGGATAGTAAAGACTGAATGAATCATGGAATCACAGAATTTTAGAAATGGAAAGGGCCCTTGTGGATGCTATAGCCCACAATCAGAACCCTTTTGTGTATCAAGCTCCACCAATGTTTGGGTAGAGATGGAAGAACAGTGCAAAGTGTGCTGGATTTGGAGTCAGACAGCCTGGGTTTGAATCCCAATTTTGCTTGCTCCCTATATAGCTATACGCAAAGTGCTTCTCCCTTCAGTCTCAGTTCTTGAGGCGGTTGAATGAAATGACTTTTCTGAATTCTTTCTAAGTTTAAATCTGGATTTTACATGCGTGATACAATTTTAAATCTAAAAGCTAAGAGATCATCTATTCTAACTTTTTCATTTTATATATTAGGAAATTCAAAACTGGAGAGGCCAAATGACTTGATAAAATTGGTCATACAATAGGTGGCACAACTGATAGAAGAAATGTCTCAACTTACAAATTTCATTTATATCCAATTTTTTAGAAACCTATTTCATAAACTGAGGAATAACTCAATTTGAACATAGAAAGTGTACACACTAAAAATACAATATAGCAAATGTGAATGGAATTGATCAGACTTCTTAATCTAAGTATCAGCGAATCATTTTGTCTAGTATCAGAACACTAAAATGATAGTGTTTATTTTCCACAATTTATACCTATATCCTATATATTGCTTTCTTATAATTTTAAACTGAATTCTTCAAAATTTGCACAGTATTTTCAGATGTGTTAGGAAATATCCACATTGTTGGATACTGAAAAACTACCCTTAAGGAGAAGGCTCCTTTGTAAGTCCTACACAACATCCTTAAATACGCAGTTTCTTAAAGTTAAAGTGATCTTAGAAACAGCAATCCCTCTCTACAAAAGAGATTCTTAACTTTTTGGTGGGTCTGACAATATGAAACCTATGGATCATTTTAAATGCATAAAATAAAGTACACGCGGTTACAAAAGAAGCCATTTATATTGAAATATAATCAAAATATTTGTGGAAAACAGGTTAAGAACCCATGCTGTACAAGATGTTATTAAGTACTTAACAAAAGAGAATACCTACTGGGTTGATAAGCAAGGAAATACTGAGCAGGAAATTAATAACCCACCTTTGACAAAACTCTGTTGTTCTACAGCAAAGTCCACAATACTAATTTTAACCAGTACTCTGAACAATGCAGTTTTTAAAATATTAAAATAATGGATTGAGTCACTGGGTAAAGGAACTCACAGATGACTTTTTCAGCACATAGCCACTGTAAGGTAACATGGCGAACACCACAGCATCATGCGTATTTATTATAATCTGACCTTACCTCGGTGGTCTTTCTATAAGCCTTGTCAGTCATTTAAATGTAATACTGTCTTTTGCCAACTAAAGGTTTCTTTCAAAGATACTGCTGCAACAGACTCCACTGAGATAACAAAAGTAATCTGTAGCTTATAATGGGAATGCATTTATCAGCATAATCTAATATATGTTATTTATGTTATCATGTTACTGCAGATTGAGCTTGCCTTTGTCTGACCTAAATTAAATGCTGAGAAAGTTAATTATTATAAGCTACATGAAGCATTGTGAAAATCATAGTAATGTGAAGGATAGTCAAAAACTCTGGTGTTGAGGATGTGGAGAGAGCTGGGTACATGGCCTTACCCTCAGAAGAAAAAATTAAATAGCCAGGACCATGAAGGTTGGAAGAAATCTGGCTCCAGGTAAACCCTGACTAAGCCCTATGTGGATCAGTGATCATAGCACTATTAACAGTGAAAGACACAAAAGGTTCACAGGAAAAGAAAAAAAAAGACATCAGCGGAGAGCAGGATCCATCCTGGCATCCCAGTCTTTTAAGAGACTGATAGTCAAAAGGTCGCACTTGGTAAGGGGCCTCTGTTAGCAGAAAGCCTCTTTGGGAGTTCTTCCAAGTATTTTCTTGGAACCCAGTTTCAACCTTTTCCCCATTCTTCTATTTCTCTGGTTTTCTATTGTTCATGTTCCACTTTATTTACTCCCCTTATTGGCTCCGCTGCCTTCAGTGGTGACCTCCCTCCTGTTCACCTGCTGCAGGGGCGAGCCCCTCTATACTCCTACTCCAGCTCCCTACTTCTGATGACGTGGTAGAATACCTGCCCATTCCACTTTTAGTGCTTCTATATTGCTTTATCTTTCTCACTCTGTAATTGTTTTTAAAAAGTTAAATGTTAAAATTCAAATTAAAATCTATATTTTATGCTTGCCTGCAAATGGCATTATTTAGTTAGAACTTAATTATATATTGGTACTATCATCTCCCTTTTCCAACTCCCTGGGTATGATTCTCTTCTTCCTTTTAATCTTCTTCCTCTTTCCCCTTCCATCTCTTTCTTCCTCCTATTAAACTTTTTGTCTGTCTTCAGCACACAGTCATGGCCTGATTGACCCCTGAAAACACCAGAAAACGGGTGAAAAGAGAGGTAAGAATGTCCTCCAATTTTGTTTTGGGAGGGTCTAAGAGCCATTTCTGGCACTATTATTTTTATGAGAAGAGCTGGAAAGACTAGGACCACAGGTAAAGACCTAGTGCCACACTAGTGACATATTGCACCTAGGACCTTAGGGGCCATATCTGGAGCCAGAAAACTAGAACCTCAGGTTCTCAAAGAAAGCCAAAGCACCGGTCCTGATACAGTCTCTGATGCCAGAATAAAAGTCAGAAGGACCAGGGCCTCAGACGCTGGACCTAACAGAACCAAGTGCATGCTCCATGTGTGGGAAAGCTTATGGGTATTAACCATCACCTAAAATCTTGGGACTTGGTGCCCAGTGTGAGATCAGCTGCATCCCTGGCAACCCAGACCTCAATCCTGAATTCTCTGCCACCATGCTCCGTCCAATCTCAGTTTCTTGGTATTTAGAAAAGGAATGCCACACCAATGACACTGTCTACCACCACAGGACCCTGGAAGGTAGAGTCCCCAATAAACTGGTACATAAGGTGAGCGAATTTATACTTCCTGATCCCCAAATTTCAGTGATTCAGAGTCAACATATCCCAGGGCAAAAGCTCCCTCTATTTTGCTGCCTCTGTCCATGCTCTCATGCTAAGCTCAATTCTTTTTCTCCTTTTCTCTCCCTTTCCATTATGTCCTCTATGATCCTTTCCTGGTTGCTCTAGCTGTAGTACCTTCCCTCTAAGGCTACCTTCTATCTCTAGTCATCCTGATCTATATCTTGCCACTGGACCCAGATGGCTCCAAATGAGAGAGGGAGGCTGGTGACTTTGCACAGCCCTCCCTCACTTAAATCCAATTCACTTGCATGTCATGGCATCACCTTCCTGATGTCATGGTCCTCTTCAAGAACAAAGGATAAACAACCACCTTTGTGAGTAGTAGTAGAAGCTGCCCCACTGGGGAACCAACACAGGTCTGTCTGTCTGTCTTTTTTTCTTTCTCTTTCTTCTTTCCCTTCCCTTCCCTCTGTGCACATAGGGTGTTATGCCCTTGCCTGTGGGTGCTCTGCCCAAGGGAATGAAAATTTTGGTGGCTGAAACCTCACAAGATATCTAGGGGTTTACAGACTAAGTTTCTTTCTTAAGGACCATGCCTTAAATCCAAATCACTCCGGCTCTCATTGATTGGCCAACAATAGGTCCCAGGCCAAGCCCCACTTGGTCATTATTTGGGCCCATATTGGCTCAAGGTGAATGTAAATAGCAGTTGTTTCTGTTTTGGCTAGAAACCCTGAGACTCTTTTCCTCCCAGATTAATTTTTTTTAAAAGAGGCCATTCTCTGCCTCATTTCTTACCTAGCCTTAATCACTGATTGGGCATTGCCTCAGTCAAACTGAAACC